ATAAATATGATAGGTAAGAATTCGAATTTTGATTTAAAGCAAAAATATGAGAGAAAGACAACTTTCTAGGGTCACCATAGGTGCATTCCAAAGCCCTAGACAAGAATGTCTATAGTCTATGGAATATTCTCATGTAGATCACTGATATCATCAGCGCACTTCAAAGTCTACACTGAGAATAACCATAACATTGTAAAATGAAAGTTAAGTTCAAATATGAAATATTACAAGATTAGAAAAACTATAATAATTTACCAGTGTAAAGTATGAAAAGAGAATTACTATACTGAATCTATAAGAATTGGCGATTACTTCAAGTCAAGACAGAAATTGAAAGAAATAAGAAGCCGAAAAAAAGATTATGAGAGCAGACTATCAAAACAAATGCAATAATGCAAAAGCAAAATCACCAGATATTTCAAAATCTATAGCGAAACATGAAAGCAATGTCGCAACCAAGCTCAAGACTTAGCAATACGCACAAATGTGCACAAAGGCTGAAAGCATATATGAAAAATCTCAAGAAGGAATTGACAATTACTTCAAATCAAATTGAACTGATTGAATTGAACTGAGACATAAATAACTATATCAAAAGTGAGTTTTACTTATACGCCAGAGGTTTCAAGAGTTTATCAATACGCACAGATTTGCAACTAGGCGGAAAGCATATATGACAAGTCTCAAGAAGAAAATAAAATGCATATGAAGAAAACACTTTCAATTAAAGAAACTGTGGATAGTACAAGACCCTCAAGGCATACATCGCAACGAATCTATGTAACTATCCAGACTACAAAATACTGTCAAAGTTCAAAACCACTCAAAAATATGTAAACAAACATCAAAAGTTTGAACCAAAAATCAATGTAAGTCTGTGCTCTCGAAGAAAGTTATAATGAATTCAAAAAGATTATACTATCAAAAACTTCAAAAGTAATAGACTTCAAAAATAGAAGTACGTAAGTATATAAAGGAAATTCAGAAAATATACGCATAAAAACATTATAAAATATTATACACAGTATTTGTCACATGATTTAGATCGGGAATGCAATTTAAATTTTGAGTACACTCAGAAAAATGAAATATTCAATAGATGAAGTATACACATTAAATTGGAATCAGAAAAATAATTATGACTTGTAAATTCTGTAAATAGTGGACTGACGTAATGGTTCAAAAGGTTGAAAGAACAACAATGACAAATGTCCAAAGTAAACATTCACCTGCCTTTTACAGGAAATTAGCTTAACAATTATCAAAGGAAATTCTTGTCCGTTCGCATCTGTACTTGGAAATAAATATAGGAAAACCTACTCGCTCCAATGTACAGATCGAAAAACTCGCCCCCTCCGATTGAGCGGAAATATGTATTGGACAAATTGTAATATTTCAAAAGGTTGAAGGATCAACGATGTTAAATGTCCAAAGTAAACATTCAGCTGCCTCTTACAGCAAATAAGTTTATTCATTATCAAAGGAAATTCTTCTCCGTTCGCATCTGTACTAGGAAATAAATATAGGAAAACCTACTCGCTCCAATGTACAGATCGAAAAACTCGCCCCCTTCGATTGAGCGGAAATATGAGTATTGGACTGATTGTAATATATCAAAAGGTTGAAAGAACAACGACGTTAAATGTCCAAAGTAAACATTCAGCTGCCTCTTACAGCAAATAAGTTTAATCATTATCAAAGGAAATTCTTCTCCGTTCGCATCTGTACTAGGAAATAAACATAGGAAAACCTACTCGCTCCAATGTACCGATCGAAAAACTCGCCCCCTTCGATTGAGCGGAAATATAAAAGGATCCAAAACACTATAAAAAACTAACAATACAAACAAAAAGTTTCAATACAAAAACAGGAGCAGCCGAATCTTAAAAAAAATTATTTTATATCTGACATACATTAAAAAAGTACAGAGACGTTCAAGTCCTGTTCATCCAATGGAAAATCAGACACTAATGTTCTAGTTTCCCTCAAAGAATATGCCAGATAAAACTATAAAACATTAAAATTATGAAAACTTATGCTCCAAACAAGTTGACATTGAATTACCATAAATGAGTATGTGTGTCTTTGTATAGGTAAAAATGATTTAGGAGTCACCCCCTCATTGAAAAGTAGCAAAAATATAGTCAAGAAAAACATCATTTGTTTCTTGAAAAAAAAGAAAGGTAAGTATCAAAGTACTATGTCCAAGTGTCAATACTTGAAAAAAAGTAAACCGCCAAAATATACGAAAAATTATGAATATCAATTTCATATAATTCAGAAAAATGGATAAATCGCAAAATGATTTACTCCAGATAACTCTAGTCAGTAGATTATTGCCATCAGAATGAAAACAAATGATCAAAAGTTCAAGTACAGTCAAAAATTCAAAAAGTAAATACATTTGGGGAAGGCAAAAATAATTTTGAAAGTAAATTTCCTACGTACCAAACATCATGAGAGCTATATCAGTACACCAGAGATCCAACAATTAGGCTATATATGCATACATGAAAAGTCTCAAGAAATCAAAAAAACTGCACATGAAGAAATACTTTCAAAAACTAAGAGGTTAGTGATCAAAAATGAAAAGCATATAAGAATATGTAAACTATCAACAACAATAGTCACAACCTCAATCAAAAGTTTGATGATATTCGACAAAAATGCTGGGAAACCTAAAGTCCCCAGACTATCAATATTCAACAACAAAAAAATATCAAAATATCATCAATCTCAAAAGTACAATGAGAAAAAAGTTATAACTGTCCCCAGCAGTAAATAAAAACTATAGTAGTATGTGAGAAAAAAAATTCTGGCAATGATCTCGCTGACTACTAAACAAGACAATTTAAAAGTTAATAGTATGCCTATGAAATAAACAGGTGGAAAAATTTTAATCTTTTGATAAAAATTTTAAACGTTAAGCAAAAAGTAAGGATGATTAAGGAATTAGAAATTTGAGTACCAAAAGCAATTAAAAATAGAAATGCTGCCAAAGATTGTAAAGAATTTTGAAAACTATGTTCTGTTTGCCAATCTTCCACTAGCAAACCACTTGTCGACAAAGCCAAACACCTATCGAAGCCTCACGTTGCGGGTGCCAATTTATGTAAAGCTTCCTTTCCGCAAAAAGTCCAGAAAAGATGGAATGCAATGAAGATTCCAACTTTTCTGCACAATCACAGAAAGGGGGTTACCATTAGCTTCCGGTAGCTCAGTCGGTGGCATGAAGACATCTACAGGCGTGTAGCTGTGTGTCGACCATGGCATGGCTAGAGGATAGAAGAACAAACAGAACACAAAAATTTAACAGATTATATTTAACAAAAAAAAAAAGGCATTTTCATTACATTACAATTTTACAAAAATAACAAAATAAGTTTTACATCTTTGGCGCTGCTATAACGCTATCGTCTTATCTTTCGCTGGTCCATTTTTACTCGACTGAAGCCAGGATGGCCAGGGGCTTGAAGGGGAGGTCCCAGTTATGAGGGGTGACCTCCATATAGTGGCTTCACAACCAGTTGTAGGCGAAGTTAAAGGCGATGGCGCTGCCAAGGTACATGCATGGGTGAAAATATTGGCCAAGGCTAGGCAAAGTGAAAGGGAAAGAGAAAGGGGGTGGCCCCAATCATTTTTGTCCTATACGGACACACATTCTAGAAAATTCTAGCACATGGTGCTATATAACCTTGTGCTACTGAGAAGAAATTTCTAGCCGTTGTTCGATCGGCGGCTCAGGTGAAAAGAGAGCGCGAGGAAGATCGCAGATCAGGAACTCCGCATCAAGCGCTCCAAGCGGAAAATTTTCCAAGTAGAAAAGCTAGAGATGGGATTAATGAAATGATAATCGAGAAGTGATTTAATAAATACGATCGGACGGTGAAACCGTTACAATATCTTTTAGTTGTGTAACCCAAAAGGGTATGTTTCAAATTGACCTTATAGGCACTTTCACAAAAGTGCTTCGAGCAAACCCTAGAGCCCTAGAGCTTTTTACATTGACTTTGATTTTTCTTTATGTATGATGTAGCCTTGAGGAAGACTGTGGAACTTCATGCCTTTGCAAGGATTTCGTTTAGATTGGTTGTCGGATTCCCACAACAGCACACCGCATTTTTATCAATTTACTAACATCACGGGGTATATAAAGTATGTATAACTAATACAACAAGTCACAAACCCACCAAATATTACCAACAAATCGCACTAAATAGTATTAACCACGATACACGTGCACTGCAGTAACGTTACGAAAATCCTGTCGCTGGTAACCACGAGCCGACAACTCTCTGGGTGACGTCACGAAGCTCCGCCCACATGCGCAACATCCTATCTTCAGTGTTTGTATATCGTGGATCTAGAGCTTTGGACCCCAGAATAGTATGCCTGTAATAGCTCAAACCCTCTCAGCGACACAATAGGTACATGCGCCGAGGACTCTTTCTCCACCCCTATATTTCTCTTTCGGTGGAATGAATGAATGAATCTTGAAGTTAGAGGCATTCCGGCCACCATAAGGAGCCAGTGCATAGGCCGCTTAAGCGGGCCCTTATGCACCTCTACATTCCTTAGATCACAAGCGTCGCCCTGTTAGCGAAGTTGAGAATCGACTTGAGTCCAAGCTCTTTGACGTCCTGAGGGTCCAAAGTAATGGACCCCAATATAGTCTGACTATAGTAGCTCAGAGCTTCACAGCGACACAAAACGATGAGGTCTCTTCCTCTACCCCGTAGCGTTCACACATGGGCACCTCAGCCATCCCCATCACAGGTACGTGACGCCTCATCGTGTTATGGCCAGATAACAGTCCCACCAATAACCTCAGGTTGGCTCTATCGAAACATAAACAAAAGCGTCAATCTTGATGCTTCTCCATTTCAGAGTGTTGTCTTGTAATCCATTTTTCCATTTTCTTCTGACTTTTCGTGTGGGCACCCCTAGGGCTGGCTCAGGACGAATAAGCTTGCCCGCCGTATCATTACCTTTTATTCCAGAATGCCCCGGTCCCCATCCTGACGATACCGATTAAGTATCCAGAGCCTCCCTGGTGCTTTCATCGCAGCCTGACTGTCGGAAAAGGAAGTTATTCTTCTTCTAGTCTCCTCAAAACGTAAGCCAAATTTGACAGTGAGAGCCAAGATCTTGGCTCAAAGAACCAGATGACAGAGCCGTCTTCAGCAACCAAGCCGTCCGTCCACACCAGCGGGTGATTACTTTTTTCTTACCATTTTCTCTTTTCAAAAGATTGTTGCTATTTTTGAACAATCAGTTTGCCGCAAAATAAGGTTTCAAGAAATACAAAGATTTTCGAAGAGGAAAAGTGATAAGAATATAAGTAATCATCCGCTCAATTGTACTATAAAGGGTAACATTTTACATACAATTTCAGAGCTATACTAATAATAATTATATATTGATGTTAATACACGGAAAGTGTTTACACAAATCAATATATAATAATAGAACTTTTAGAAAAAAAGTACCTACATCAGACATGAATAAAACCAGTTAAAAACAATGCAATGCTGCGTAACCGATAATTACTAAAAGCAACTTGAAAGAAAACAATACAAAAATGTCGTCATGATATAAAAGAAGATCGCTAAGAAAAATATATGTATAATACAATTAATTATACACATACAGACAAACAAAACAATAACAACTGTACACAATTTGGAGAGAGAAATAAATAAATAAACATTTAAGGTATATAAGTACAGACATTTGCCAAATATTCGTCCGTGCTAAAGAATGCGTTTCTTATTAAATAATACTTGAGTTTCCAATGAAAAACATCAATATCCAATGTTTTTATATTTTTGGGCAGCAGATTAAAAAAGTTAATGCCATAAAAGTTTGTTCCAACTCTTGATTTTTCTAGACGGTAGTTATTATGACAAATGTTATATCTATTTCGTATTTCATAATTGTGGTTATCACTATGAGTGGGGAAGGTCCTAATGTTACTTTTGATATACAGGGCGTTCCTTAATGATATGCGAATGTTTAAGGGTGTGAATCTACATGAGAAATTAATGTTAGTTTGCTTTATAAACTATCTACTTTATTGTCCCATGCTTCTTGCCGGGACGACTTGACGGACAGACTTATTTACAAACTGTTTATCCAAATCGTTGGATTGGCCGCGACGGGCCCCAAGAATGGCCACCAAGGTCCCCAGACCTCAACAGTTGAGATTTCTTTTTGTGGGGCTCTCTTAAGACACTAGTGTACACAAGTCCCATTAACACTGTAGAGGACTCAAAAGAAAGAATAGTTACAGCTTGTGATAGAATAAAAAAACACTCCAGGGATATTTCAACGAGTGCGCAATTCCATGAGGAGGGCGGAAGCATGCATACTAAGTAAAGGGGGCCATTTTCAACAATTTTTGTAATCGTTTCGTTAGTTTTAATGTTATGTTTATGTTGTCAGTTTTTATTGTTCATTATTCCTAATGTGTTTAATTTTTCCAATTAAATTAATAATAATTTTGCAAGTTAGACAATAGAACGGTTTTTATTTTTTTACTCAAAAAAACAATTTAAGAGAGATCATTTGTTTTAAATTGACCGGAGAATTCAAAAAGTATTTTTGTATGGCAAAAAACTGTTGGCGTACCATTTTTTTCTTAAAGAATATCGAAGTCAATACCCGTATGCACGCCACTGTTAAGACTAAAAATTATTTTTTCATTGAAAAATATGCAACTGTACTAACTTTCACTACGTACTAAATATCAGAGAAATATCTGAAGCGGTTCTGGAAATATTAATTAATTTCCATTTTTTTCCTAAAACTTCAACACTTCGAGTTTTTGTAAGGAAACATTTTTGGACCATAGTTTATAAAGCAAACTAACATTAATTTTTCATGTAGATTCACATCCTTAAATATTCGCATATCATTAAGGATAGGAGACAACTCAAAATATACGCGCATAGAAGGGTTAGTATCGCGAATTTAATAAATTCAGCCTTGCAGGGGTCTCTGTATTTCAAACCAGAGATGTATCGGATACAACGCCTTTGCATGCCAAATACTTTTTGCATATGTGGAGAGTGTCACCAGACCAAAATTGCATGTGTCATTTAATTAATATGCTCATAAGTCACAGCTGAAGAAAAAATACACAATAAAATGCCCAAAAACTGCATTTTTCGACAAGAAATAGAATGCATTGTTTTTTTTAATCATTTCTGTACACACCATGAAATAATCAAATGAAAAGGACTTAAAATACTGCTCAAAAAAAAGGGACATGAGACATGCGATTTGTTATCCGCCGCAAACCATAAAAGTGGCCAGTTTCATTGATTCAAAACTGGATTAAAGATTGTTGTTTTTGAGGTTGTCAAGTGTCTAAATTAAATTGAACTTGAACTGTATTTTGGGGTTCGTTAACTTTGAAGCGTTATTATTTATACCCTATTTCACGAGTATCCATCACGCTTTGAGATCTACTGAGGTGAACAGCTGATCAGCAAGTTACATTTTTGAGTTAGTCTGCAACGTTGGCAATAATGAATCGGGTATAAATCTAGTAAAGCTTGTTTGTGGCGTTTCGTTTTTTGTATGCAAATGAACTTTTCTAAATAAAAGGGCTGTTAGCAAGTAGAAGATGAATCTGTAGCGTACAAAAAACCAAAATAAAATGCGGCTCTGTCTAGCTGGCGTTGACGGATCCGTCAGTATTATGTGTCCTGTGCTGATATGGGGAATTTTGAAATATTACTAGATGATCGGCTGTCAATTTACCGTGACATATACTCGTGAAATAGGAAACAAATTGTCATTAACGCGCTAAATGCTAGACGCGAGTCCATGTATCATACAGAATGTTTCGTATTGTTTAAGCAAATTTGCATGTTAAGGGACATCAAACAAATGTGATAATAAAAAAATCGAGTCAGAAAATGTGTCCCACGATTACAATGTTTTCTCTTCGTCTAATAGGCACATACTCGCGTATGGTATTAATGAGTGGATAATAACATCGATTACGTAAGTGTATCTGGGGGAAAATGAGCAGAATACTGAAGTAGGCGTTGGCCTCACGCACCCCTTTTTAAATTAGTCATTGTTCTTTGTCTTTTCGTAGACAAACGCCTTGTGAAATGTCATATACAGGTTCAAGGGCGTTCTTCCATTCGTAAAGATATGCGAACCGCATATAGAATTAAGGAGAATAACGACGTTTTTCTTTTGTAACGATGAAATAAATTGAATTTAACTTTAACGATGCATTAGTATTTTAACATTTCATAAATTTTAAAATACATTTTTTTCTGACTTTATAGTCGAATTGACGTTTTGCGTGTCTCGAATTGCTTTTCTTCTCATCAAAGTACAAACCCTAACGTTTCGTAAAGAGAAAGATCAGTACAGGTCAGTCTGTCATTCTGGATTCTTGCAGCGGTTATTTCAAAGACACTACTTGATGTCAGCAAGTATGCAGCTTGTGCACACACGTAACCGCTGGCTATGCGAAAATGAACGCACGAAACAGCTAAAAATCTGCATGTCGTCGAGCCATCCTGGCAAGTTTGCAGGTGGTAAGTAATCAATGTGAAGCGCCGAGAGAGTTTTAAGGGAGTTGCGATAGCAATAACGCTAACGCGCAACCAAACGGAGTAGCGTAGTGCCAGGCACAACATCGGCACAGCTAATATTATCCAAATTATCACCATTTGCACACTTCTGCGAAGTTCACGATTACAGCAGGTTATCAATTACTTTCTTCTAGAGGTCCCCGCATATTTTTTAGCGATAGGCAATTTTTATATTAGGGTTTTGGGCCTTGGCATTTTACTTGGAATACTGTGACAGGATAACAACAAGTTTCTGGACTGTTTTGAGTCCCCGGGCAACGAGAAAGATGAGGCTAGGCTGGGTATCAGCAGGAGAAGGAATGCGTGTATACAGGGTGGCCCATCCATGTGTGGACGGAATATCACTCATCAACAAATACATTTTGGAAAAATCTACTCATGCCATGTCATACATGACATTTGAGGGCAGATTTCTAAAATATTGGCAATTATACAGAGTGTCCCAATTTTGACCTACATATCAAAGTTGTGATTTTTTAAATGGAATGCCTCAAATTTTATTGCATATTTGGATATACCAATTCAAAAGAAGAAGATTGATATAACATACTATGGGGTTTTGGTAATTAGCTACTGAGATGTAAGGTGTTTTGTCTAGAAAAACTGTCCACTTCGGCAACCCCTCAATCCACCATTTTGAAATTTGGAGTGTTGAATTTTGTACCAAAAAAACTTACATACCTCAGCTTTTATCTTATTTGTTACTTTTTCGAATTTTCATTTTTGCTCATACAGGGTGGTCAAAAACGCGAATTGTATTTTTTCTTAAAAATTTAAAATGCATCACCCTGTATATTTATGCAAAACGAACACCATATTCACCATTTCTTCTTTAGAAAAACTTATTTCAAACACGTTTTTATTATAATGCTCATTAAGCTAATTTTGACAGTTTGTAACTAATCAACAATTTATTTGTCTCCAAGGATGATGCGATATTTTAGGGAGTTAAGCCGTTCCATAAAAGACGTGCTAATAACCGAAAAAATAGCAGTAAAAACCCTTATGTGTCTAGTATCAAACAAAGCTTATAAAAAATTGAATCCAAACTTGCACAAATATACAGGGTGATGCATTAGAAAAACTACAATTCGCGTTTTTGACCACCCTGTATGAGCAAAAATTAAAATTCGAAAAAGTAACAAATAAGATAAAAGCTGAGGTGTGTAAGTTTTTTTTTTGATACAAAACTCAAAACTCCAAATTTTAAAATGGCCGACTGAGGGGTTGCCGAAGTGGGGGGCTTTTCTAGACAAAACACCTTATATCTCCGTCGCTGATTACCAAAACCCCATAGTATGTTATATCAACTTTCTTCTATTGAATTAGTTTATCCAAATATGCAATAAAATTTGAGGCATTCCATTTGAAAAATCACAGCGTTGATATGTAGGTCGAAATTGGAACACCCTGTATGATGGCCAATATTTTATAAATGTGCACTCAAATGTTATGTATCACATCCCATACATAGATTTTCCCAAAATGTATTTGTTTATAAGTAGATACCTGGGAAAAGCGTAGCGAGACAAACATCTAACGTGTTGTCTACTGGATAAGGGTAGATGGTAGAGAACCCAATGTGCTGGGAGGAGAACGGAGTTCCACTTTCTAGGCTATTGCCCCGTGCATTGCGGTCTAGGGGCTGAGATATCCGGGGCCATGGAGCTTGATGGTGAAGTTGCTTTCTCAGAGGCACGGGTATTACGTACTCGTATCTTGAAAAGTGACATTACGTCGATTTTTTTTTTTGACATTGTATTGGTTTTTTGTAACACTATGTAGGTTTTTCTACACGATGTTAACTTAGCACTAGCCGATGGACACGTTGTGAACTCGTTTTGTAGTTGTACGTGTTACCTAAACATCATGAGGCATCAGTTATCAATGTTTGGCTCTGGCAGATGGCGTTATTGGAGGTCCAAGTTGTAAGTTGTCTACTATAGCTAGAAGGAAACGGTAATGCATAGGTGCATAGTAAGAATTTGTTTGCTAATAATATGTGTTGATGATAATTTCTTTGGATTCTTGTCTCAAATACACTTACTTGAGATTTAAAGCTAGAAATTAGCTGCGCTTTTCCGTATCCAGTCTGGAAATAACATAACATGTAAACTTGCTGAAATGAGAGAGATGAGAAATAATTATATTCACTGTACACTGTCGAATTACAAGTCATATACATGCTAACAGCAATTACACACAACGCGGGCGCGGTAGTAATTTCCCGTATGTCTCCTCAAAGTTTATGAAAACACAAAAAAAGTAAACTAAAATACGTAATTAATAAGTTTGAACATAACCTGCCTTCAGAAAAAACAACGTATAAATAACCCGTCAGGCACAGTAAAAGACATACATGCGATTTTGCTATTCAACCAACTTTCTTCTCGGAGAAGAAAATTACATACTACTGGGCTTCACAAAAGATATGCAACCAACAATGCGTGTAGCTGAGTCATTCCTCCATAGATGGACGCTCACAACGATCCTAGGGAGCAAACGTGTAATGACTGTTTGTATCCTAAAAACTGCCTAGTCTACAAGATAACATTTTATAGGTTTTTTTTTTACGTTTTATAGGTTTTTTACATAATACCAGTGCGTAATGGTCGGACATCCTGGATTTATTAGATCAGGTTCGACAGATTAGTCATGCAGAATGTGTAGCAGGTTTACTCGTGTTCAGCAAAGACGGCCAAAGGTAGCCTACTTCTTCGTTATTATCTCGTTTCAAAATTTTCTCTGGATCAGCAGACATTATGTATTTTGTTCTTATTATTTTTCAGTGTGTCCTAATCATCCATGTTATAAAATACATCTGGAAAACTGAATTACAAGAACATATGCTTCTTACTAGGAGAATATGCCTCCCTCTACAGGGTAATTCAGAACGATATAACACAAAGGTGCATTTTCTTAATTGGAATTTCCTATATATTTCGGCATATTCTGAAAGGCCTCTTCAAAGGAAGAGGTCTGATTTAGTATTCGTTTCTGGAGGTAGGGAACGCTTTGTCTGAACTTACATTCAACTTTGACAATTTGTAAAGTCACTTTTGTCACTTTAGCAAAATAAGCTTCATATCCCATAGTTTTTAAATGTTTTGCATCTTCTGCATGATGTGTTTATAAACTTAAAATTCTCGAAAAAATCAAATGAAACAACCTGCATATTTTTACTGTTCTTTTGCTTCAACATTTTAAATTAGTGAGCCTTTGAATCATTCGCAGTTTCCCAGAAATATTAATTAAAAATAAATAAATGTCCATTAACTCGTACAAGAAAGCAATGATACTTATTGGATTCATACAAAAAGCCTATATTTAAATTATTGCTCATCCAATAAAAACTGTCTCTTTCCACAAATAATTTAATTCTTTATTTCCAATTGTGGTCTCTGGGAAACAACTGAAAATTAATTTACTTGAGCCCCCAAAAATGTTATATCAACATAAAGCTTATCAAGACGATAGTCCAAAACCACAAAAAGCATACAGTTTTTTTAGAAAAAATACAAAATGGCCAAAAACTATGGGATATGACCTCGTTTGAACAGAAGGTTTAGTTCCCTATTTACAAAAGTGACTGGCTTCCAAGCTGTCAAAGTTAAGTATCTTTTCTAACAAAATGTCTCCTGGCTCCAGGAGTAACGATTCAAATCCTATATCAAATGTTTTCATTTGAGAGGTCCTTCCAGAATATACTTAAACATACAGGGTTTTCTATTAAAAAAAGGAATTTTTGTGTTGCCACTTAGTTATGCATCACCCTGTAGATAAAGGCATATTTTCCAAGTAAGGGGCGTATAGTTGCTTGCAATTTTTGTGATTAACTTTTTGGATACCTTTTAAAATAATGAAGCTATCGACCGATTACACGCTAAAAACTCAACCCTGTATTTTAATTAACTCAATCGACGATTTATTTTCTATTCCAAACTCAGGCTTTACCTTCATTTTTGAATGGATTGTAATATGTAAGCTTCATTATTCCTGAGTAGGCATCAGTTAATAAATCGAGGCAACCGAGGAAGTTTTTGGAAGCACTTAAATAATGTTTGGAGACTGCCGATGCATTATACCTACTTTACCATTTATTATCTTGAGTTGGTTTCGTTGTAATTATTTGTCTATTTTTCTTTTCCAGCGACGGATCCTCAACGGCAAACTTGGGGCTAGCAGTAAAAAGGAGACCTTTCTTAGTGCCAGAAGACCTCTGAGACTTGAAAGAGTGCCTACAGTATCGATATTAACCAATGGATGTCTCAGAGACGGTGACTCGGAGAAATATCGAGACGTAAGTGCAACTTCACCAAATATCTATCATAACTATCTACCATCGGTCGGAAAAGTGTACATTGTGATTAGGTTTCCAGGGCTTCAAGTCCCACTTTTTAGCTCACGACGTCATTTAGGGCGCTAAAATAACTTTAGCGCCTGTTATGCATAAACTGATCTATGATGAACACAATGTGGCGACCACGGGAACTGTCCTTGTTTATTTTGTTGCTAGGCGACAGCGCCGGTGCAACTACCGGTAACGCAATGGCACGGCGAATTTATTTTTGTTTTGAAGCCTACTTAAAAGTGAAACATGATTTTTTATTTTAACCGATCAGGGATAACATTTTGAATCCATATAGTGTCTAAAACTATGCTTTTAACATCTGCGGTGAGGCAAAGTTTAGCCATACGTTATTATCAAACTTAACCACAAAGCAGGAGAAAAGAAAATCCATACTGAACCTCTATTCTTCAGTTTGAGGGAGTAGAAATTGTGAGAGAAAGTGGTAAAAAGTGGGTGTGGCCAAGAAATGCAGTATTCTTGAAATCAATTCTATCGAAAAGTGATAGAAATGAATTTACTTTAGGGAGTCGCGATTTCTCTTGGTACCTTCCCGGCCCTCCAAAAAGGCCTGGTGCCACCGAAAGATACCACTTCTTGCTGGAGCAACACCTGGGTAAGCCTGCTTGATCATATCAAACGTCTCTGTCGCAGATTTACCGAGTTTTCCACAGAATTTAATCGCGTACCTCTGCTCTAACGAACGCTGCATTTTCGGCTTGCACCACTCACAGAAACACGTCGCGCGAAAATGCCTGTCCTGACTCTCCAAGTGCTCGGAGACACGGAGACAACTGTCCAGCCGCTCATTCGTTAGCTAGGAACGCCCTCTACCAAATCCAGTCGGTGAGCGCACGCTCCGAAGTACAGTCATGGCGGAAGAAAATGAATCCTATTACTTTCCGGACAAACCCTGTATAATCTAAAAATTGTCGTGTTTGGCATTTTTATTGTCATTCCTGCTAAACATATTGCAAAAAATGATAAATTTAAATCAATAATAACGATATTATTAACGAGGATGTAGAGGAGGCAGTTGAGGAATGGGAGATAGGGAGAGATATTCTTAGGCACCGAGATCCTTTCATAATTTCGGATCGAAAATTTCTACATATGTTTAGGTTGACCAAAGATTTGGTGTATGAATTGCTGGAGATATTAACTCCATTCATACAAGCACCCCCTCGAGCTTCTGCACTTTCGATCACAACAAAGACAAGAGTAGATATTAAGTTTTAGTCATTCTAAAACAGTATCATTTAACCTATGATTGAATTTTCCCCGGTGCATTTGGGGGTCATTTTGTCCTTTTGTTCATTTGTACTGTGTGTTTTAAAGTTTTCGGCTCCATAGATAAAATTATAAGGAGGAAATCTCGACCAAAATCTTTGGTTAGTTTTTTACTGTCAAAAATATCTCCATTTTGATTGGTTTAACACGTGTGCTCAAACCTGGCAACACTGAGTCTTGATTTCCTTCCTCCTTTCTATCGAGTCCTTTCAAGAATACAGTATTTTCAAATCGTTAGAAAACCGGGGGAGTAGAAAACTAGAGTGAGTGTGATTTTCTATTAAAGTCAAGAATAGGGGCACAGATCGGACTTAACTCGCGGCTTTCGCATTGAAAATTGTGCAATTTCCAACAATTTTGTCAAACATAACTCTATACACGTACATGTTTGTATCTGATTTGGATTTTCAAGATTTTGTTGTACCTGATGCAGTACCCACAGTTACACAGTGTGTCCCAGATTCGCTTCTCTATACAGGGCTCGGCTTCTGTCATACCTACAGCTAAGCTTAAATCGAGGAAGTTTTAGATGAAACTTAGTGCTTTGGATAGTTGACTTCAGATTCACGATCGGTCAATTATTGGTTTTGAAAATATCAACGAAAAACCGCAATTGCGGAATTTGTTTTTTTCCAGTAAATCCAAAACGGTTAATTTGACAGCTGTCAAAATGTGACATTATTCGGACATCTTTCTACGAAAAATAAGATAGCGTATATGACGTGTCTCAATCGTCCATTGTTTTCCAGCAACCCGCCACAACTTTCATTTTTCTTATGACCGTACAACCTTAGCTAATGTATTTAAGTTAATGTTTCTAACTGTGCTCAAAAGTCTGTCTCAGGATCTCTATGGTCGTAAATCAAATTCATAGACCTCACTCCTTGTATGACCCCAGAGGTAGAAATCCAAGGGTGAAAGATCAGGGGATCTAGGAGGCCAAGATATTGAACTATTTAATGAAACTGTTCTTTCGCCAAACTGCTCTCTTAATAAGTTCCTGACTTTAATGGTGTTGTGAGCCGGACATCCATCCTGTTGAAATCAGGTTCTTCTAAACTCATCTTCAGTTAGACTAGCTCGTAAAGCTGACGCAACTTGGTTTCACAAAAGCTCTAGGTACCTCTGTCTCTGTCCGTTTAGCTTTTAGTCAAACAAAAATGGTACTATAAGTCAATTTCCTGAAATGATTATATACAGGGTGACTTCGAAGTGGAGTCATTTATTTTAACAGTGAGTAGATCTGATCAAAAGAAATGTTTTTTTCCTTTAACATTTTTCTGGTAAAATTAAAGTAACAAAGTTATAGCCCTTTAGAAGTTTGAGTACGAATAATAATATTATGTGTTTGGCAACAACGGATATCGGTTCATCGCATCGGAAACAAAAAAGCGAAAGAATTTGAAACGTTTATCACGTTGTTTTTCGTCAGTCGGTAACGCGTGGGTGAATAGTGATGTTTGTTGCGTGACTCAAACGAAATGAAAAATGGCACATGTTTACGAAAATGCTGAACTTGTGGACATGATTCTTATTTACGGGGGGGCAGTCTTTACAAAATGCTGCCGGATGCATCACGGATTTATGCGAATCGGTTTCCCAATCGAGTGCAACCAACCCTTCGTGCCTTTGTTAATGTAGTACAAAGGGCTCGTGAATCAGGTGACTTAAGACCTCACAGGTGAGAGCATGCCGGTGCTCCAAGACCGCACGATCAAATACAGGTCCGCACTGAAATACTTGTCGGGAGAATACTTTATTAAACAAGGTAACATTTTTTTTTATTTTTTTTTTATTTTTACACACATATTTTGGTTTATCTTCCTTCTACAATCATTATCTGAAAATTAATGACTCAACTTCAAAGTCACCCTGTATAATACCTAATTACAATTAGGTCGGTCAAGGGTGCAATCTCTGTCAATCAGCATGGATTCATGAGTGGTAGATCTACGGTCACCAACTTGACCCTGATTACTCAGTATATTTCCCAAGTATTATACACTCGGGGGCAAGTTGATGTAATGTATACAGATATTCAGAAGGCATTTGATCAAGTTGATCATTGTGTACTTCTGGATAAGCTTAGTACCGTAGGTCTAATTGAGGGACTGTTGTCGCTTCTGAGTTCATTCTTGATGGACAGAAGGTTGTTTGTTGAATATGGTGGTTATAGGTCGAGTTATTATCAGGCCACAACTGGGGTGCCTCAAGGATCGAATCTAGGCCCATTACTGTTCCTAATCTTTATTAACGATGTGACTCTTGATCTCAAGTGTTTGCATCTGTTTTTTGCTGACGACGTTAAGATTTACGCATCGGTCGAGTCAATTGATGATTGTCTCATGCTGCAGGATAATTTAGACGTAATTACTTCATGGTGCTCGCGAAACTGTCTGAGTTTAAATGTTTCTAAATGTAAAGTTGTGTGTTATACAAGAAATACTAATTATTTAATATATGATGATTATAACGTCAACGGTCAGGTTCTAGACAGACTCTTTTAAGGACCTTGGAGTAACCTTTGATAGCAGGCAAATGTTTAGCGAACATATACTTATGTCTCATAGGCTGCCACCAGACTACTTGGCTTCTGTATCAGAAATTGGAAGGGGTTCTCCAATGTTAGTCCTTTAGTGACTTTGTTCGTTACTTTTGTCAGAAGCAAGTTGGAATATGCAACCCTGATCTGGTCTCCAATATACCTAAATTCAGTTGCGACGATTGAATGCATTCAACGTAAGGCTATTAAGTATTTTTATCTCAAATGTCCTAGTTTTTATCCAGAAAGAGGTTTTTGTCATCATACCCTTTTGAATTTTTTCGATTTAGATTCACTATCAGTTAGACGTAATATGTTTGCCTTATCGTTTTTATATGACCTCATGCACAATCAAATTGAATGTCCGGATTTACCTGAAAAAATATATTTCCTCATTCCAAGGCTTGAAAGTCGTCAATAATCAGCCTTTTATTGTCAAGCAGGCCGGACGAACGTAATGATGAAATCTCCAATTTATGTAATGTCCGGTCTGATGAACTCTATTTGCGATCTGTGTGATATTTATAATGACAGCTGTAAATCAATCATAAATTGCTAAGTCATCGATTCTTCTCTGAGCTTACTTAGACCAATTATTGATGCTAAGTTTAAGTTTTCAATGTGTCTCTTTATTTTCTTTTTATTAATGTATTTGAGCTTTTCCTGTAATTGAGTTTTACCTGTAGGAAATATGAAATATAAATAAATAAATTAAAAAGGTAAGTTAGTTTAAATAACCAATGACCCTACATCAAACGTTAGTTCCAAATCTGGTCTGTAGACGTCTCTCTGCCATTCCGTGAAGGTTTTCCACAGCCCGATGATAAGTGTCGTGATTATTAAAAACTCCACAATTCGTAAACCTACTCTCTCATCGGACCACAAGACATGATTTACGAAATCGGGATTTTCATTAGACTTCCTAGTATACAGAAGCGCATTCGCCTTGGAAAGTCAGTTCCCTTAAGTCCTTGAACTCTTGTAGGTTTGTACGGATGGTACTTATTCTTATTTAACACTCTCTGTACTGTTGATTTTGACACACCAATTTCTCATTCTATTAGTTCTTGCTGATGCACTAGGAATTTCGTTGACAGCTTGTAAAATGTTTCTGTCGCGATTT